GGGAAAATTTTTTTTTAAAAAATTCCCTTTTTTTTTTTTTTTTTTTTTTTTTTTTTATTAGGAAATGCCATCAGAACCTTTTAATGGTGAGGTAGCAGAAGAAACTGCTAAGACCTCACTCATGCCTGAAGGGGAGATGGTAAATGAAGTTCCAAGTGGCGAATCAAAATTGCTGTCTGAGAATCAAGGAAAAGAACCTGTAACACTGTTTGTTCCATTAACCCTTGATGCTCCAGCAAAACCCCCAGAAGACACTGAATCAGAGAAGGTGAGAGAATTGAAACTAAATGTTAAGTAATTTTTACTTCAAAGTCTATTTATCTTGCACAGAGTTTTTTCTTTTGTTAAGTAACAGATAATAGCATTTTATTAAATTTTTGGGAGAAGCAATTATTAGGCCAGATGATGTAAGTCCATAAGGAGAATACACTAACATTTCTTTTTCAATGTGCAGAAGTGGGACCAATATGCATGTGATACCCAAAAGAAAGATATGTTTGCAGCAGTTTGCCTTGACAGTCATGAAACTGCTGTTTCTCACTAAAATACTGGTTTGGTAAGGGTGAAAAGCCACATACTTGTTTTGTCTAGCAATTTGTGCCTAATGAGGTGTACAAATAATTAACTACTGCTAAAATGCCTTTACTTTCAGAACACAGGTTTTACTGTTTTCTTGTTTATAGTGCAAAAGCAGATTATTGTATGTTAGCAAAACACTAATTGTATTTGTCTAATTTTTTTTCCCTTAGGATTAATGTCAGAGTGCTTTTTCTGTACCTCAAATTATTCAACTCTTTTGAACAATTTGAAAGTCAGCAACTCTGGATATGAAATGCAGGTCACAAAATAGTCTTGTGCAAAAAGGAGGACTGTTTTGTGAAGTTATGTGTGCATGCTGAATGCCAAACTATCCTCTAATGTTAATAGCTAGAGGCAGTAGTTGTTCAGTGTCTTTTACCTTCAACTAATCGTCCTTTCGATTGTTTTCGTCCACCCATAGGTTTTAAATGAAAATGATTCAGAAATGCTGACTGAAGAAGTTACATCAGCAGAGAAGGAGGGCACCGAAGAACACCAAGAATCTGAAAAGGCCAGCACTGAAAACGCAGCTGCTTTGGCATCCAAGGAAGAGCCCTCTGGCAATGGCCTGCCCAATTCTGTGGTAACTGAAGCAGCAGAAGGATCTGTTTCTGAAAACCTACCTTCCTCATTAGAAGATCAAAATGAGGAAGCAGGGCACAACTCGCAGGAGGCCCCAGCTGCCTTGATGAGTCAGAGCTCCTTGGTAATGGTTGAACTTGAGGGTGTTTCTTTTCAGCAGCCTTCTGGACAGGAAGCACAGAAGAACCAGTTGGAAGAGCCCTCAGAAGAGTCTACAGAGCAGTCAGATCACTACACGCAGACAGTGGCAGAGCGGGCTGCTGACAGCAGCTCTGAGGAAGCAGAAATTGAGGTACCTGTGGTAGATCGGAGAAACTTGCGAAGAAAGGCTAAAGGCTACAAAGGTCCACCCAAGAAAAAAGGAAAGCCAGCTTAAAAATCAAATAGTGATAATTTACCTATTTATAACAAGGCTATTTTGTGTAAAACATTAAGGTGTAACTGCACCGTATCTGGCACAGCACACACATTTAAAATTCTGGGTTGGATTTCCTCTTGGGTTCATCACCTTTCCTTAAGTTTTGATTTGTTTGTTTTTTAAATTTAACTGCTAGAAATTGAACTTCTTTGTAGTATGAAAGTAAATAGCCAGTCTTCTCCCTTCATAAAGGATACATGATGAATAAATACACTTGTGCTATCAAAGGGAGTAGTTTGTATATTTGAGGTGGTAGTCATGGAAGAAAAATGCAGTGTGAAATCCTGGCCCTGTCAAGATCCCTTAAATTGCTATAGACTTCCTTGTCACTGGACATGACTCGAGATAAATTTTTTAATAACTTTGTGTTCTCTACTGTGAAGAAAAGCGGAACAAGAAAAATCCTTCATTGTTTCTTGTTCCTTTCCCACAGGCTTAAGAGATTAAAAGAATGTAAGATTCTTCATTCTAGGTCTCAAAATGTACGAGAAGGTGTAGCTCAGTAGATCAATGCAACATGAGCAGCACGTCTTTCATGAGAATCACTTGAAACAGCTGAGTCGATAGAATGCAGTGCAGTGTCTGCCACAGCACTTCCTAATAATGGATTTCTTGAGCAAAGATCAAGAGATGCCTACTCAGTAAACTATTTGTAGCTTCCAAAGCAAGCATTCTGGTAAGCCCAAGTTTTTCCAGAATATATGGAATGGAGCCTCTGTATGGAATCATTTGAACTGCCTTCCTAACTACTTGCATGTGTTGAGTGGATAGCTGCTTCCTTGTTGCATTACAGGAAAAGGATATGACAACTCTTGATCTCGTTTTGGTCTGAATGGAAGTGGTTCTTTGTGTTTTCCAAATACTTGGCTGGTGCTGTGGGGTAACTGCTGAAATGTTGTGTCGTCCAGGTGTGTGACTCCTGTGGGGACTGACATTTCAGGTGATTGTGATATTCTTTAGTGTATTAGTGGGTGTTTCAGCAAATGCTTGCTTGCCAAACTTCTATGCCTTTAGGAGTTAGTGGGTGATACTTTGCGAATACTTCTGATTCCCACTTTTGTTTTCTAACTTGAGTGTAATTTCTGGGATGATAGCTTCCCAGTTGATGACTTTTCTTAAAATCAGCAACCAAAATTCACTGTATGCCAACAGGAATAAACCCAGACTTGTCATGCTCATTTCCCTTCTGAGGTTCTCTTGCAAACCGCGTATTTAACTTGTCACACATACCTACATTGGCCTTATTTTGCTGTGTGTTTCTTTTCAATAAGTACCGATCCTGTTGTAATGGGCTAAAAACTCAGAAATAAAAGAACAGTGATTCTGAGAACAGAAAATTTCATCACCTTTTGTCCTGCATATGCCTTTTCCAAGATGTGTGAACTAGTCTTTTGCAGTGTCTCAAAAACAGAGGAACAAGGTTCACTTGAGTAGTTGCAATGCTGTCTTAACTTTTATCCCTTTATGAAGTTAATGTAAGAATCTGGTTTTGGATTTTTATGCTTATAAAATTTAACTCTATTTATAAGCTATTTTACCTATTTAAGATACATTCATACTTTCTTTTTTTCAGGTGATGAAGTACCATGTTCCCTTTTAATTTGTTAAAAGCAACTTACAGAAAAGAAAAAAAAGGCAATTTTAGAAAAATGTGTGTTACCTTAACTTTAGATTCAGGGTGTGTGAGATTGAGTTAAATATGGGTTTCTTGAACTATTGCATGTAGCTGTAGTATCATATCAATGTATATACAGATAGTCATTATGAACCCCATGATTGATAAATATTCAAGATCTTTCCTGATTGTTTGTAAACATATTCAAGTGAACCTTAAGCATTTCTAAAACTCATAAAGCTTTTTATATAAAGCATATAAGACAAAACTTTTGATATTTTCTATATGGTTTCTCTTTTACTGCTGAGATTAATTGCTTTTAAAAAAGAAGTGTCTAGAAAACACATCTATTGCATTGCTAAGAATTGGGGATTTTTGAGGACTGGTGGCCTAAAATAGAGTGGTTGTATACAGTATACTGCAACTCATCTTCTATTTTTAGGGCAAGCTTTACTGAAGATTCATCTTATGAGTCCTTCAATTGATACAAATGTATTCACTTTGAAAAAGTTAAAGATTCTTTTACTTATGAGCCCCAGTAATTTCAATTACTTCTAGGTGGATTTTTGATATGTATGTTTACCCCTTATGTTCCTAGTGAGGTTGGAAAACTGTTCTTGAGAAGTTAATTTCACTCACTTGGCTTTTACCTTTCATGGCTAAGTTGGAATGATTTCAATTAGTACCTTTCTTTTGAGACATTTGTGAGTAAATACATACATATTATGAGATTATGATATTGAGATAGTTTTGGTTTCTGTTGAGAACAATAAAATCTCTGATCTCATTTCAGTGAGTCAGTTTTAGATACTGAACTTAAATTCACATGTTAAAAGTATACCCTTGAGTAGTTATCTTCATAAATCTGGGGTACCTGGATAACAGTTGATGAGTAGACTTTTACAAACAGAATGTGGGCAGTTGTGGTGCAATTAGTAATTCCAATAACCAGTACAGTCATGAAAGATGGACGCTGTTCTAACAGTGATCACAGGAGTACTTTGCACCAAAGGACACGTTTTATTTTTACAACAACTTCTTTGGCATCAGTCGTTCTCCAGTAAATGCAGAGTAGCAAAGTCAAAATACTGACTTTAAGTAATAGTTTTTATTGCTGTACTGATTGTCCCACAAGAACAGTAGTTCAATACCTTATTAATTCTGTTACACTTATGTAAGGGAATGTGTTTGACAGCTGTATTGACTGGAGTGCTTTACCTTGGGGACTATTAACTCTCTTATCAACATCAAACTCTTAAACAATTTTAAAGATCTTATTGCACCAGCAATGAAAGATTAAAAGATCAACTTTATACAAGTTTGTACCAAATGTTATTACAACATGCTGTGGAACTACGTGTGTACAGTGAAAAGCAGGCAGTATTATTTTTGAGCTTTATTTAGTCTAGGAATAGAGTTTAAAAAACATTAATTTGTGACTTCAGCCTTGCACTTAAATGGTAAATGGTTTTGTACTTGAATCCAATATTTGTTCAAATGTCTGTCTTGTACTGCTTCTCCCATATTCTCTCTTGGTCCATTTTAATTTAATGCAGAATTCTTGTTTGCTATTCTCCTGTTTCACAGTCCTTCGCATGAAAATGTATACATCTTATTTCAAAAGCGCTTTAACTGATTTCAAATTATGTCTGACCTTGCTGCTTTTTTGTACCATTTCTTTTGTAAATGTCAGTATTCAAATTGACCATTTACAATGTCATTGACACTATTAGCAACAAATTTGCTTAAGTTTCAGCTACCTTGCTTCTAAGTGACTGTTCTAAAATATTACTATGGGGATACACTTTAAATTTATTTCCACAAATGTGGTGTTAGATGTTTTCTAAACTAGTGATACCCTGTTTATAAATCTTATGAAAGATGTACTGCTATTGCATAGTATTGTACCTTAGTCTTGTTACTGTGTTAATTTTTCCTTTTTTTTTAGTACTGTCTTGGCTGCTTTTGAAATGTTTTGAAGTAGTAATAAACTTTTATTTTGTGATTATTTTTTCTTGATTTTTAATATTTGAGTCCTTTTTTGCTATATAGGAAGCACATTTAGAAGTGGTTCAATGCACTGGAACAGTAATTTTACAACCCGTCTTCTACAAAGGAGTCTTTAAGAAATCAAAAATTATTAATTAAAAACCCTTGTATCAATTAAAATAATTTTCTTTAGCTTATGCATCAGATTTTATTTTTAAAAAGCAGCAGAATAGGCTCTTCTGAGCATTACGGCATGCATTCTGCTGTTTGTATCAGTTGTGCAACACGATGTAAATTTAGGAGTTATTAACGTAGTTTGCTGTAGACAAGTCAACTAGAAATGCTGTAACACACTCCCCACAGTGTGGTACATTAAAATGTCTTAAGTGCAGTTGTGATATTCAGCCAACAAGTTATGTATTTATAACACTAAATATAGTAAAGCTTTTCAAGACAGCTATAGGAAATTAAAGTATTCTCTTCATGTTGTTAATGTCCAGCAAAGAGTAAAGCAACAAGAACTTTGCTTTATAAAAATAAATGGAGGTTTATCTATTCTGACAAAATGCCCTCTCTCCAAGCAAATAACTTAATGTTTGTTACCCTCTCTTACTTTCAAATACTTGTAAGTTACTAAGTCTAGAGTGGGGCAGTGTGGCAAACTAATAAAGTAGTTGTAACAGGTTATGACACAGGTTAGAGTTACTGTGTCTGTACGATCCTAAGAGAAGTTTTAAAGATTGTACAAAAGCAGCTAGCTTGACATCCTGCCTGAATTCTAGATCTGAAACCTGACTGGAGAAGCACCTGTCATAGAAAAGCTGGAGCTGCAATTGTTCTTGCTGGAGAAGAGGAAGCTTGGGGGGGGTATTAACCATGTGTACACATACCTGGTGGAAGGAAAGTGTATGTCACAAGTAGTTTAAGTTGCTTAACGAATCACTTTCAAAGGTATTAGCAAAAGCAGGTTTAATATAAATTTGCAAATCGTGACTTTAAAAAGTTTGATGGCAAGATTCACTCTATTACTTACTAGAGAAATGAAGCATACAAAGGAAAACTGAATTAGAATCAATCTGACATTATTCACAGGGATAGAGAATGCAGAAAGGTTAGGGAGACCTTGTGCTGAGTCATCAGGTTCAAAGAGGATGCCCTTTTGTAGAAGCATAGAAGATAAGGTTTGTTGCTAATTACTCAGTGAGCAAGAGCAGGACATGGATTGAGATGCAGACGTACAAAGGTAGGGCGGCACTTTTCCAGAAACATCCTTGTTCTGGCTTCTGGACATAAAGCACAACACAGTACAGAGCAGGCACAGAAATGGGGTTGAGGTATCCCCATGACTCTATGC